AGTGAAGTACAGTATCACAGAAAGGCAACCCACAGACTCTTGTTCTTCTAAAAATTATTACTGGGGAAGTTCAGGAGAATATGTCAGATAAGCAAGTCTTAATATGAAGCATTGTGCCCTCTTTTGAATGCTAAAACCTACTGGGTTTTTTGCAGACTTTAGATGCTTTCCTTATATCTGCTGGAATAGTTACTCTGGTTTTGGAGGAAGATGGCACGGTTGTGGACACAGAAGAGTTCTTCAAGTCCCTGGATGATAATACACACTTCATGGTTCTAGAAAAAGGACAGAAATGGACACAAGTAAGTCTTGACTGCCTTTCTCTCACTTGCATAGAAGTGGATGGAAGAATGTCTGTGGCTGCTAAAATTATTGGAAAGAGGGGAGAAGAGGAAGAAAACTTCCCCTAAGGAAGGCAAGGTATCAACTCCTTGTTGAGCCTTCCTGGATGACAAATCAAGTTAATTTTTTTTTGTCCCTTGCTTGGACATAAAATTGTTGGCAAAGATCTGCCAAGAATTAAAATGAAACATTGCAACTGAAGAGAATTACAGGGGAAATCCCCTGCTTTTGGTGAGCCTCAGAAATAACTTTGTTCTTGAGCCTTTTTGTAACATAAAGAAAATTAGGACTTGACAGCATGAAGTTAAAAATACAATGTCTTTAAAGGTTAGCTTTTAGAGGGGGAAAAAATGCCCAAATTAAGCAATGTAAAACAGGTTTTGCCTTGTGAATGCAGTAGTGGTTTAGTGAAGGTTAGAAAAATGCCTGTGTTTAATCTTGCGAACAGCTAAAAGTTGTAATCAAAACCTAATGTTAATCTACATGCTTCAAGATATTTTAAGAACTATTAAGATTGGTTAGCTTTAGCCTTCTAATCGTATCAACTCTGTGTCCAATTTGTGGTTTTGTGGGGGAATAGTCATAGAATCATAGAATAGTTTGGGTTGGAAGGGACCTCTAAAGGTCATCTAGTCCAACCCCCCTGCCATGGGCAGGGACATCTTCAACTAAATCAGGTTGCTCAGAGCCCCGTCCAACCTGACCTTGACGTCACCTGTACGTTAACAAGATAATGTCAAACTCCTAATTGTCTTTCCATGAAATGGTTGTTGCTAGAAAGCTAGCATCAAAATTTCTTCTACCAGGTGCAGAGCTAGCTGAGGAGCTGTAAGCAGGCCTACCATTTTTCTGTTTGTACACGGATGGCTCAATTGTGTGGCCCAGTTTTCTCAGTCTCCTGTTGCAGTGTGGGCAGTTTGTATGTTTTTCCACAAGATACCTCACTGACTTATCGACCTGCTGCATCTGGGCCATGAGCTCCAAGAGCAAAAAAAGTTGCAGCCAGGGTATGACTCCACCTTGCTCCTTTCCCCTCTGCACTATGTCCTGTCTGGCATGGCAGCAGAACAAGTTTGAGTGCTGCCCCTCCAGGATGTGCTGAATGACAGCAGGACTGCCGCAGCATCACAAATCATCTAGAGTGTAGCACAAGCTCTGTCATGCTTTATCCAAATATTCTGGGTGCTAATGGGGGGGGCGGGGAGGGGAGATATACACTGGCAAGCATACCAACTACTGGTACATGTCCAAAACTGTTGTTGATAAGGGGCCCTGTTGCTGGAGCTCAGAGGCTATCGAAGTAAAACAGGCATAAAATTGCTGGCTAATGATATACTACAGTGTTTAACTTGGTCTGACTTATCATGGTACTGTCTGAGTGCTGGGGTGATAAGTACAAAAAGGCCCAGTCTTACACAACTTTATTGCTCCATTTAGCATGCAAAAAACAGCTTGGCAGCTGCCAAGTCACAACCTTGAGCGGAATGTGCTGAGCCGAATATCCCATGTATCCACTAGATGTCTCTGTAAATATGGGTTTTCATTACTATTTTCTTTTTTCTTGAAGCAAGCTATCCTGAAAGCATCACTGTCAGCCCTGAAGCAGACAAGGGCTGCTTTCAATGAAGGAGGCTGGATTTAAGGTGGAAGATGACTTTCCACACTCCTCTTCCTTTGCTTTTTCTCTTAAAAAAAATCGGTATTAAACCTTAGGCCTAATCAGTAGTGGTTCCCTCCCCATGTTACTTTTTTAATAGGAAGAAAGCCAGGATTTGAAATGAGGACCTGACTTGTCACAGATGTCATCTTTGCAGCTATCTCTAAGAGTGCTCATCAGTAGCGTGTTCCTTCCTAAATGGAAGGACCTAATATCATCCTGGTAATTTGGTGGCCTGTTTCAGTGTGGACTAACTGCGCTGCCTCAGCTAGCAGCTGCAACATACCAGGAAAATTAAATGGCAGGAATACTGTCCAGTGGCATTACCTGTGGCTTCAGTATATCCTGAAGAAGAAGCTGTATTACAGGAAAGAAATATTCAGGAGGTGCTGTGTCACTCTGGAACTTCTGTGGCTGTTTGGAATAGCTTCAGTCAGGACTTGAACAAAATTACGTAAGCCACAGACTTGCTTTTCTCTGTGCTAATGCTTTTCTAGTTTAGAATTGATTGAGAACTAGCCCAAAGATTGGAATAAGCAAGCTGCTTCTAAAGAGCTGCACTGTTAACGATTGTCTTGCTGTAGTTTCCTGGCTTATGGTACAAACCGTCTCTCTCCTTTTAAATTAGACAAGAAATGGAGTCGCTGCTGTGAGACAAAAGAAGAAAATGGGAGTAGCTAACATCACATTTGATCTGTACAAGCTGAACCCTAAGGATTTTATTGGCTGCTTAAACATCAAGGCGACCTTCTATGAGATCTACTCTGTCTCATATGACATCAAATGTATGGGAGCAAAAAGTGTATTGCGGTAAGTATGTTTCCACTACTGATCAGGCATATGTGTTAATGTAAAATCTGTGTTTGCTTATTGGTTCTGTGAAGCAGGTGTGTTTATAAATTTAGTATTTTTATTAATTCTTACATACTGGCCAATATGCTGACTCTTCCTTTGTAAGGTGGATAGCTGACTTGTAAAAACTTACTATAGCTTTTTATGGTGGAATCTTAAATTTCCCCCAAGGTAAAATCTTATCAGCTTGTATTTACTGCAAGGGTGTAGGTAGAGTCTCTTTGTTTTCCTGAGAGAATTTCCCCAGATTCCTTTGACTTGTTTGAAGAATGCAGGAGGCTGAGGAAGAAGCATTGGACTCTTTGAAGGGGGAACTTCAAGGGGATGAAATGAGAGGAATTTGAGATCTAATGGCAGAGGTCTTAAAGCTTGCTCAGACTTTGCAATACCTGGCTGCTAAATTCACCACCTGAGCTTACACGGAAGCAAAGGAAAATGGAAGAGATATGACACTCTCCACTGTCATAATGTGAATTTGTCATCTGTAGTAAGACTGTGTGATATCACTGGTTTAAAGCCAACTGGTCTCTGAGCAAACTAATGGAGCCTAACAAGGACCACTGTCTCCTGCAGGACCAGTCTGGTGGGTTGTGAGTTTGGTAGAACTGGCTGTTGGGAAATGCTGTCTTCTGCAGGGGCAAAATAATACCTGTCCTGTCCGCTGCTTTCAACAGTGTGCTGAATGTCTGTGCCTTGTCAAAACCAGCTGTGTCCTGCCGTGGTTGAAGAAAACTTCTTCCGAGTTCAGACTCCTTCACAGAGGTGCCATACTTTGACAGCTGTTTAAGCTGCAGCCCTGAATTTCTCTACCTGGCCTTTCAAATCCTGGTTGAGACACAGTGGTGTAGTGTCGTTGCATTTCACTTGAGGACCAGATCTGCTCTGTACAGAACAGACAGGTGTATATGCTTGTAAGTGAGGTTTTCACTTCCCCTGAGCAACATGCAGTCTTTAGTTTGAAGTCTTCAAATAGTCCCTCCTCTCATGATGCAGGTATTAAGCATTGTAATGCTAATCTTGTTCCCTGTCTTTCTATCTGACTGACCTCTCCCACTCTACTTAGGTGGTCCCTTGCTTAATCTTTCAGGCTACAGCTGGTGTGACTGTAAATGAGACTCATCTCTCTGGTCATGCTGCAGTGATTATCCAGCTATATGCTATGCCCACCTGTAGCACTGGCTTCATTAGCATTTCTTCAAAGCAGTCTTACGCTTGAACAGCTGCACTCCTCCAGTTGCTATGTTTGTCAAGTCTCTTGAGCCAGAACAAACTCTGATTTCTGGCTATCTGCTATGGAGATGAGTATCAGCACTGGAACTTGCACTGTTAAGGAGAATTTGAAGGGATAGTTCTGCCTCCCTGCCAACACAGGGCAGCTGGTGAGACAGAAATGGTACTGGCGAACAGCTGAAGTAGCTGTGGAGTTCTTCTGGAAGCACTGTTATGTTAGAGTTGAGCTGTGAGGGAAGTGCCAGTGTCAGGGTGGGAAAGTAGTCTGCTAGCAAAGAACAAGAATGACAGAAGAGATAACCTTGGGTGCTCTTGAACACAACAGTGAGATGGCCTGTCTCAACTTGCTATTGAAATTGAAGACAGATGATGTTAGGTTCTTGGTGTAGTCCCTCTGATAATGAGTTCCAAATTGCTATCTCTGATGCCCTGTCCCTGAGCCCACCTGTGCAGCGTGAAGGGAAAGGACTTTAAAATGCTGCAGTTGTTCGTTGGTGGGAGTGGCTCAAAGCCTGCCAGATCTGATTAGTGCATTTCCCCTAAGAGTTTCTCCCTGTAGTGTCCAACTGAAGGATCAGATGTCCAGTTCAACAAGTAACTTCCTCCATGGCTTAAGTGACAACTGCTCTCGTGTGCAAGTGACACACTGCAGCTGCTCAAAAGCTCGGTACCAGGTGCAGCTTTCCTTACAACCGTAAAGCTCCTTGGCCTGTACTATCTGGTGGAGGGAAGGACATACTGAAATGGCATACGTGTGGGAAGCATGAATAAAGGTACAGTGTTTTTTTAAAAGGGTTCCCAGGTTCTAAGTACAGGGTATTCTACTCTTTTGAAGCATTGGATTTTGACTGCAAACATTCTTTCATCACAAGGGAAAAAACTGAATTTGTAGGAAGAAGACTTTGCCTTCTCTGGTAGAGCTCAAAGGAGAAGTGAATAGCAGCAGAGGGCTCACAGCTGCATGTTTTCTCAGACAGGAATTCAGAAAATCTTCCCTCTTTTGCAGAAGAGGAAGGCTGGTCTGGTTTCTGCATCTTCAGAAACTGATCCCTTTCCAGTTTTGGAATGGTTCCGGTTTTTGCGTACCACTTCCCCAATGCCTCAGCTTCATATTTGTGAGGGCCTACTTAACTTTCAGGGATGAGGCTTTGAATATAGCTCTCAGCACTGATATCCCAATTGTTTCTTGGAGAATGGAAGGAAGACATAGGTATAACTACGTTGAATAAATGACCACTCAAATACGATGATCTCTATTCCCCTGTGATCCTGTGGTGATCCGCAGTCTATATTGTAGACCTCTGAGGCTTGCCTGATCTTAGTTTATGGATCTGTACTGATTCTCACACAGTATTGTATATTTGAATGCTGATACTTACTAAAACTTTTAAAAATAGAATAGTTGCGAACTGAGAATTCTTAAGGCTTGCAGCTTGGACAGTATTAATTCACCTGGCTTCATTTGTTTTGCTGTTGGGCATCCACTGTAATGTGATTGCTCAGCTTCAGATCTAATCAAGCTTGATCTGTAGCTTGGAGATACATGCAGTGTTGTATTAGTGAATGGCCTAAAGGTGAGACGTGAGGTGGATTCATGCTGCAGGAATTTTTTCTCCCAGGCAAAGTTAAGTCCTCAGTGGTGCTTCGGTAGTTTGAGTGTTGGCTTTGCAGAAGGCCTGTAAACGTCTAACAGGATGACAGCCGCCTTTGTTAAATGCGTTTTCTGGTTCTGCCAACATGTCAATAGTTTTCTGTCAATCAATGGCCACAGAAGTATTTGCTCTAAAGAAGGTACAAAAATGACCAGCTTCTCAGAAGTGAGGAGGAATGAGAGAGTTCTTAAATATATCTACCGAACTCATCCTAAAGGTGTTGGGGGGGATGGGGCAATGTCACCCTGTTGGTGAAATTTTTTTTTAACAAATGGCTTTTCTTCTAGGAAGGTGCTTCAGCTAATGTCCCATGCAGCACAAATAACTGGACAGTTTCTTCTCTATACTGGAACGTATATGTTGCAGTTGATGGGTGAATATGATGAAGATGGCACGTGTACAAGATCAAGGCGGGAGTAGTAAACACAGCTGCACTTTTGATATTGGATCCTTTTGCTTAAAGACATTGTCTTGCCCCATTTTGATTGTAATGATGTTATAGCAGGGGATGTCCACTGATGTGAACTAACATTTTTCCCATTTGGGAATGCTTGTAGGCCTTAGTCATAAAATAAGCGTTTGGTGTTCACAGGCTCTTAACACAGCAAAAGGATGGGTGCCTAATGTCTGAGAATTTGGCAAAAGGAGAGGGTGGTTTTTTGCCCCAGCAACTCAAAATGGAGAATAAGTATACTTGGAAACTTGCATGCTTTGTAACCAGTGGGGTATTTCTTGCACTGATCAAAACATAGTTTGGTTGGGTTTTTTCATGGCTGTCTGCTTGCCTTCTGAACAGACTGGTCTGTAAGGTGGGGGTGGGGGAACTGTGGTTTTTTGTTTTTTAATCCTTAACAATGCTAGTATTAGTGTCCAGCTGGCATTGAGGTACAAAATGGTGAAGTGTAGTTATTCTGCTACCAATGGAAATACACACACAATACAACTGAATCCTGGTTCAGTGACTGACAGCTCTCATGAAGTCTAATTGGAGAAAGTGCAACTACTAAGCAGAAGCTTAAAATTTAGCCTTACTTCCCTTAAAACAAGTGAAAACATTTCATTTTAACTCTTCATATTTTTTCTTCAAATCTACAGAAAGTTCAGGTTAGTATAGCTCATACCAGTTGAAGAAACTGATATTTCTTTGATGGTTCTGATGTCCATTCTGCCTGAAGTATTGAATAATTTGCCATAGTTTCATGACCATGGCTTACAAGCAACCTGCTGAAGCTTCCTTCAGGGGTGTTAAACCATCGCTAATGTAGTTTTTACTGTTCAGTTGCAAGATGACACTACATCCCAAGCTGTACTTGAGGTACATGCAGCATGGATCTGTAAGAGATGCTGGATTTTGATGCCCCTGTGTTCAGGGGAGAGCAGCAGGACACTATCTGGTCTTGTGTAACATATATATGCTCTAAACTGGATATTTGCGGTTTTATAGTCTCCCAAGACAAGTTGTATTAAAGGGCAAAGTTTTTAATCCTTAGGTAGAATTGTCCAGAATGTTTTCTACAGTTTAGTGAACTGCTAGGATGACCAGCTTTCAGCAAGCTTTTCCTCAACAGTGTAGAAAACTGGAACATGAGCCGTGTTGGGCATCTTGTGTCAAAACACAGACTCCCGTTGCTGAAGGGAAAAGCCCAACTTTGGTTGTTCATAGGTGTGGCTTTTGAGGCTTTCATTTGCTTGTGCATGAGGAACTTTAGTAAGTTATATTCTTAACAGCTTTCAGCCTTAAGTAAGGAGACAGCAGATACAGGTAATGTGTCTGACCTGATGGCAGGTGCCACCTAGGAAGCGAAGCTCTGGTGACAGAGTGAACAAGTGGGGTAGGGGAAGAAAGCAGTGGGAGCAAAAGGGAAAAGGACCAATGTGGAACCCACAGTGCTTGCCATGCCTCTGCTGAGAGAGGAATCCATTAACTATGTGCATCAACTGCACTGGTTAGTTGGAGGAAAACCTAAGCAGGCGGACTGAAAAGGCCGAGTAGTGTGGTTGGTGGGATCCATTCTGACCTGTCAGCTGGATCTGTTTGCTTCAAATGTCGCTAATATGTGGGAAAATTGCTCTTGCTTTAATCTGCAAATTTCACCTTCATATGCTTATTTTTGCCTTCCCTTTATGGATGTGACTTAGCCAGCTGAAGCTGCACCTTTCAAATCACTGTTGTGATGAAAAGCAGCCTAAATCCAAGCGTTAAAGGGACCGATGGACACAAGTTCACTAGGTGTCTGCCTGTCTCTTCAGTAAAGGTATTACAAATAAGTAGATAGCTAAGAAAAAACTTGTTTTTTTCCTGATTCCTGTTTCCCACTTACTTCTGAGCGTTTGCTGGAGCGGGGGAGGGTACACAGCTCTGGGCAAGGGGCGGACTGTCTCTTTCCTAATTTCTCCCAGGGAAGAATGCCTGTAACTTGCAGCACTGTCAGGTTTCTTTCAGAAGAAAACAATAAACTGTTCTGTGAGTAATGCAAAAGAGATTATGTTAAAATGGAAGCTTTATACTTCATCTGTATTGTTTTCACCACACCACCCCAAGCGATTGTTGCCATGATAACTGTTGGCCAAAGTCTTTCTACCCCTATCAAGGAATTGCATTTAACTGAGGCAGTGCAAGGACTTTGTCATTAATTCTTTCGGCTTTTAAGGACCACTTATTCTATTAAAACAAGCACATCTGTAGAAAGCAAACTCTATCTAGCGCTCCTAGGAATATTTATGTTGCTAATGGTGGGAGCACCAACATTAAAAAAAAAAAAAACAACTTGCATAGTTCAATATTGCATTAATGTGTGAAATGCCTCTTCAACATCTGTAATAAAAAAGCTGTTGCAAGTCTGAACTGTGCAGATATCAAATTCCAGCCTTCTATAGCCAGAAGTAACACTGCGTCGTTTCCAATGGTACTATCCTAGAACTTAACGTGATCTAAAAGGCTAACTCAGTATGAATTTGCAATGTTTTTAGGCAGCTGCTTCTTTGGCAGCTGAACACTTGAGCTGCTGAAGGTCATGTGAGCTGCAGAGTCTCCATCTCGGAGCATCTCCCTCCTCTAATTCAAAATGCAAACAGCTGAACAAAGTAACTCAGCTTTGATATTTTTCTCAAAATGGGAGAAGTGTCTTGCAATGTTGTAAGTGTCTGAAATTTTCATTGCTTCTGAATCTGGGTTTTGCCACAGGCTTAGTATTTGGGGAATGATATTTGCTACTGTACCAACTTCTTTCCAGTGATAAAGTTTTGGCTTTGGGTCAAACTGGAGGAGTTTGTAATTCTGAGTTGGAGCCAGTGTGATTTTTTTTTTTTTTTTTTTTTTTTTTTTTTTTTTTTTTTTTTTTTTTTTTCCCCAGACTGCTTAGGAGTCATAGTTTTTACTTCAGCTGTATGTGGTACACAGCAAAGAACAACTTCAGCATTATCTAGCTTTCAGAAAATTATACACAAGTGGTGTACGATATCTAGCAAGAGACAGAAAAACTAAAAGCACGGGCTCTTAACTGCAGGTATGTAGAGAAGCAGCTAGCTTTTCTACTTGACACTTCTAGATTTGATTTTTCTTTCCATAAACTTATTAATCTGCACTTGTTACTGTTGCAGTCAAGGCTGGTAGCACTGACATGTTGAAGCTGTGAAACGTGTTTACTGCCTCCTTGCTTGCTGCACTGGCTCTTTTTGCCTGTTGCTTTGCATCACTTACTAACAATGCACCAAGTCATACTCTCTAGTTACCAAAAAAGGAATTTTCACTGCAGTATTCAATCGTGTTGACTCAGGCACTGTTCATGTTCTGCACTCAAAACAAAGTTGCTCTCTTCATGACTAGAATGAAGGATCCAGTTGCTTTTTGTGCATGTAATTTATCATTACTTCATTTCCTTCCTTTCATAAACCCATGAAGCTGTTGCTTTCTTGCACCTTCCTAGTCTTTCAGGAGAAATAGGATTACAAGTTGTTCTGTCCAAGGGGAGAAGAAAAGGCAGGGTCTAAATTCCTTAGACCGTTTGGAATATGTTCTAGGAAACACCCTGAACCCCTTCCCTACAGAGAAGGGAAGGGTAGTAAAGAAAAGAAAATAGGACTTTGGGCTGGAAGCTTTTTTCAATACAGTGAGTAGAGAGGTAGGTGTTCACAATTTAGGAAGTGCTGGTAATTCTGAATATTAACTGTGAAGATAACTACATATGATCATTTGTACCTGACTAGAATTACAACTCTAAATCACTTCAGTATGCTGCTTCCTGAGATAGCACTTGAACTAAAGGCACAAGCTTCTTTAATTAAAAACAAAAGAAAGTTTAAAACCAAAGTACTTTTTTTTTTTTTACTTGATGCCTCAAGTTTTACTGGAGGTATTAATGTGATTAACATACCACTTCAGTTATGTATTAGTAAGTATCCTTGTAGGGTTTAACGTTTATCACTGCTTTCTCTACCTTACCTTGTCATATATGCAGTTAAGATATTTATTAACATGAGCATTGCTATTTTGCTAAGGGGAAAAAGATAGTATTTTACCACTTCACAGCTTTCAAGCTCAGTAGTTTAACTTGCTATGAAAATTGAGATGGGTGAGAATTATGTGTCAGTGATGGCAATATTTTCTGATGGTGGTGCCAATTTTAAGGAACACTGCCCATGAATAAATAAATTCAAACGGTGGCTTTGGATGTCTTCTCTATTAATTTCCAGAATAACTTATTCCTGAAATAATCATGAACATTCGTGGATCTATGGTCTGCCACAGACAGTTTCCAAATGCTGCACTGCAGCGGTGAAATAACTGGATACTATTATGTGGCTCTGAACTCTTAACTCCTTACTGCTGACTCACTTTCTGGCCTCAGAGAAACCATGCAAACTGTGTTTCCTTTCATACAAAAGGGAATGCCTTCCTCCATCTTTTACCAAAGCTGCAAAAGATTACAAACTGCTGAGTACAGGAGATAGAAGGCTTCAGCAATCTCTGGTTTTCACCAAATACTGTAAGGATCAAGGACCCCTTTATAATGCCTCACGTCATTTACCTACAGATACAGTTGTACACATTTGATTGCAGGGAAATATGAATTTATTTAGTGGAATATTAGATTTGTCCAGTTCATGATTAACAGTCTTCAGGAGGAATAGCATGTGAGTGTGATCAATCTCGTGTACTTCTATCTAATAAGTACATTCTATACTCAGCTTAAGGGACAGTTTTGCAGAGCTTGACTATTGAGCAGTTCCCCTCTTGTGGGAGAATCAAGGTCCAATTTCTTGCGGTGGAAAAGCACAAAATAGCACTGTTGGCTTTAGTGGCAAGGTGTTGGCAGTGGGCGGGTGAAGGGATGCTGTGGGGGTGGCCTCTGTGAGTAGAGACCAGGGGCTGCCTCTGTGTTGTACAGAGCTGCTTCCAGCTGGCTCCAAAATGAGCCCACCATTGCCCAAAGCTGAGCCCTTCAGCCAAGTTGGTGGCACCTCTGTGGAAACATATTTAAGAAAGGGTAAAAAAAATGCTGTGCAGCAGCTGTAAGAGGACTGAGAAAAATGGGAGAGAAACAGCCCTGCAGACACCAAGGTCAGAAAAGAAGGAGGGGGAGGAGGTGCTCCAGATGCTGGAGCAGAGCTTCTCCTGCAGCCCATGGAGAAGACCGTGATGAAGAAAGTTGTCACCCTGCAGCCCATGGAGGACCCCATGCCACAGCAAGGTGGACATGCATTGAAGGAAGCTGCAGCCTGTGGAGACACCATGCAGGAGCAGGCTCCTGGCAAGAGCCATGGCCTGTGGAGGGAAGCCCAAGCAGGAGCCGGTTTTGTGGCAGGACCTGTGGCCCATGGGGGACCTGTACTGGAGCAGTCTGTTCCTGAAAGACTGCACCCCATGGAAAGGGCCCATGCTCGAACAGTTCCTGAAGGACTGTATCCTGTGGGGAGAGCCCATGCTGGAGCAGAGGGAAAGTGTGAGAAGGAAGGAGCAGCAGAGAGGAACTGTTGTGGACTGACCATGACCCCCATCCCCCCGCCCCGTTTGGGGCCAGGGAGAGGAGGTAGAAGAGTTGGGAATGAAGGAGTGAAGTTGAGCTTGGGAAGAAACAGGGGAGCGGGGGGAGGTGGTTTTAGTTTTGTCTTTTTTTTCTTACCATCCTACTCTATTTTTAATTGACAATAAATTAATTTAATCTTCCCCAAGTCAAGTCTCTTTTGTCTGTGACAGTAATTGGTGAGTGATCTCCCTGTCTTTATCTCAACCTACAAGCTTTTTCATCTTCTTTTCTCCCCATGTCCTGTTGAGGAGATGGAGTGAGAGCGCTGCTCAGTGGGCACCTGGCAGCCAGCCAAGGTTAACCCACCATAAGCACAAAGCACTAAAAGTAAGAATAAGCAAAAAACAAGCTGCCTGTGCTATAGGTGGCCAGTAAAACTGGAAGCAAATCTTTTGGAGTGTTTTCTGAACGGCTTTTCACAGCGCTGTGTTTGCAGAGACAAACTCCTGTCATCCACAGGACAGGGTTAATAGTTTCAGTTGTCATGATACAAATGATTTACTGACCTCAATCTCAAGCGTGGGTTTTCTAAGGTCACCCATCAATCTGAATCATTCATAGGAGGCTCCATTACTAATGTATTCTTGGTTAGGAATATTTATTAATAAATATTAATTATCATTTGAAAGAGAACATTGAAATAGTACTGTTATTTTATAAAATAGCTAATGAAATGTAACACTAAAAATACAGTATGTCTTAATAGACTCCAGAATCAGGATAATGCATTCTATGCAGTTCCAACATAAAAAGTTGATTGATCATCAGTTTTCTAAAAAGTCTGTTTTAATCATTAGCATACATTATGTACAGATTAGGCTTGGGTTTTTTTAAGTAATATAACTATTGTCACTGGTTGGTTGTGAGTTTGTTGTGTGTTAAGAAAAAAAATAAAAGCTTAGATCCTCAGACAACTATATTTAAGAAAACAGTAGCGTAATGATGTGGGTAGTCAGTCTATTATAGACCCAGAGAAATCTCAGACATCTAAGAAGTCCTTTAAAGTCTTAAAGTTAGGTATAATTATTTCTGACACATTTTGTAATTACATTGTGCAGTCCATAATCCTTTACGGTAAAAGCACTTCTAATTAGAAAGCATCTTCCATTGCATAGGTAGGTGTCTTCATTTGCTGCTGCTCTTTATTGAGTAGTGTTTTCAAATGCTCTTCCCCCACCTCAAAAATCAGAAAAGAATAAGCAAGAAAACAATAAATAATCTTATGTAAGTATAAGAAGGACTACTGATTTATTATTGAACTAGACAAACTGAAGTCTACAGTGTTCTCTATTTTATTCCTGAAAAGCTAAAGTGCAAATGGCATTATTTCAGTGATTCCTGTACCAAATGTGCTTAATTTAGGTGCTCTCCTAGTTGCAGGTTTCCTGCTGTTTTGCCAACTTAGGGATGTTGCCTAGAAAAGCTGCCTAGAATAGTTGCAGAATATTGTTCTAATGTGCACTCACCTCCCTAAGTGATCGTGCTTTCCAAATAAAAGTCACTATCTTCCAGAATAACTGATGTGTTTTCAGACACAATTGATTATTCAACAATAAACCCATTTTATCTGAAATCAGAAATTACTGAATAGTTGCTGCAAATAGCTAGCTATTTCAGTCTCCCAGAAAAGCCATTTCATCTTTGGATGGGATGATCAAGCTGGTTTTCCTCATCGTTATAAGCATTGTCTGCAAACTACATTAAGATCAGAATTTCATCTAGATAAGAAAAGTACAGTCTCTAATAGTTCAACTCTGTGACCACTGAATTCAGTAAACAATTCTCTCAATTCCTCCTAGTCTTATCTGGCCCTAACATGGTACCGTGTTTAGTTTTCACAAGAGTTGTGA